TCTATAATGTTATTCCGATTTATAGGTATCCATAGAACAAATTTAAGAAATGGATAGAATTAATCTAGGCTTAAATCTTGGGATTTGATTTTGCCCGAACTTCAGCATATGTCTAAGTTCATTAGTAATTTGAAAATTTTCTTGATTTGAGCTCTGATTGACCTTTTGATTGAATTTAATTTTCAATTTCAGTTATTCAATCGACAGTTAGGAAAAAAGAAAAAAAAATAATTCTGATAACAATAATAATTCTAATAAACTATATATAATATAACTATAATATATTGCCATATAATATACTATGTTAATATACCAATATAATATAATAAAATAAAAATAACCCTAAAAATATCCCTATTGACTTCAGACATATATAGGTGTTTATAACTTTAGGTGAGTTAGCTTTTTGTGGATATACGTACTAGGGATGAAATGATTGGTGCAAAGTGTATAAGAATGATAATGTGATTTTACAAGAGAATAAGGTCAAAAATCACTTATTCATACTTGATGGAGCCTCAGTTGTTGGGATTCCTACAATAAAGAAAAAAAAAGAAAGGTAAGTGTGTCAATTTTATAGATACTGTTGAAATGTTTTAAAATGTTAAAATGTTTTAAGATTCAAGTTAAGGGATGATTTATTGAGGTTTATCATGAATCTTTAAGTAAAGTTATAAAAGTTAAGAATTTGTGTTGAATTTCATATTGAGAGTTAAATGTATAAAGGGTTTTACCCTTATAAATAAGATATTTTGATTTTATTTTAATAATCTCAAATAGTTAGACAATAAGAGAAAGTTAAGTGAGTAGACTTTTAAAATTATGTAATTGGATTTGGGGTTAAATTTTGAGTAATGAGCTTTTAGTGATTTTTCTCATTTTAAAACTCACAATTATAAAAATTTATTTTTTTAATGAATTGGATTTGAAATAGACTATTTTGAATTAGGTTAAAACAAATATATTTTTATGTTCTTATTTTTATTTTGAGCTTACTCTAATATTTATATATGTTGATATTGTGCGTACATGTTTATTTCTTAACAATAATTTGAAAAGTTTTGGATTGGATTAAAGTGAAAATTAGGATTTGAGAGAAGTTAACAGATTAAAAAAAAAAAAGCAGGGGAAAGAGGGAAAAGAAGTTATTGGATTCTATGATTAGCATTAATAGGCTTAATTATTAATTAGTTTTCTTAATTAATTAAATAATAAAAGTTGACTCTAATTTATTTTTAAAGATTTTTAAATTTTTAAATTCATTTGTTGATTATGTAGCAGCTTGTGATTTAATGATAATATATAAAAGTTATATATTATTAGTATATTAAATAAAAATCTATAGTTTCATGTCAAAGTTATGACCCAAACGATGATGACATTCCAACGGCACTAAAATCGTCGGTAGTGTTGATAATAGCGTTCTAATCGCTATGTATTGCTTTGCTAGCGCTTTCAGCTTTAGCAATTTTAGAATTGACCAGTCGATTATTATGTAATACCAACTAATTCACGATTTGATGTGTTGAAATGGTCTTAATTTCCTCATTCCATTTATTTTTTTTTTCTTAAAATGCTAGCTGCAGTTTAGAAAATTAAGGAAAAAAAAAAGTACAAGCATCGAAATCGAACCTTAATTTTGCGAAAATCTATTAAGAAGTGAAAGAATCATTTTAATTAAATTTCAAAATTTCAATTATTGTTATTTGCTAACGCTGTCAAATTACCATATAATTTTTTTTTTTTTTTTATGGAAGCCACCCTGTCAATTAAACTCCATAATCATATCTGCTTAACCAAAGATGAGGATTGCGAGATTGAAAGGTTATCTAATTTTTTTCAATTAATAATAAATTTTATTTAATTTTAATAATAATTTTTTAAAAAATTATTAAATATTGCTATAAAATATTATTTTATTATTTTAATAATTAAATTGATGTATTGGATAAACTCGAGTTTGGCTTTAATAAAAAAAAATCTCGCAATCCAACTCATGAATATTTTTTAATTTTAATAACACAAAAATTATTATATTAAAATTAATATAGAAGAAGAATTTTATTTTTTGATGACTCACCAAAATATTTAAAATCATAATCAACTCAATTTTTATATAATCCTAACATATTAATCTTTTGTTCATTTATTTAAACTAAGAAATGATATTAGTTTATAATGTCAAACAATAAGTTATTTTTATGAGTTAATAGGCATCTATTTCAAGAATTTACGTAAAATTTAAAAAAAAGTAAAAAAATATACGTAACAAATTCAATTCGATTCAAATTGATTAAAAAAATCAAAGAACTAAATAAAAAAATTTTGAACTCAAAAAAATTGATTTAAAGACAATCAAAACTTGAAAATTGTATAATTTAAATTATCAGAATATGAAATAATCCAAAATTTCAATTCTCCAAATCTAAAATGATTTGATTTGAAATTCATAAAATTTTATTTTTTATTTCAAAAAAATTATCGTGATTAAATTATTAATTTGAGAGTGACAAAATTAAAAATCCATCGAATATAAAATGAATCATACTTAAAACTATCTGAATTAAAAATGATTTAAACTCTAAACAACTCAAATTTGCAAAGGTTCAAATATGAAGTAGCCGGGATTTGAAATGGTTTAATTAAGTCCCCGAGTTTGTGGGGCTCAAATTTTTAAAAAAATTAAAAATTTAAATATATTCTAAAATTAAAATTAAATAAAATATATTTATTAATTAAATAATAATTCAAGTCTAGCTCTGCTTAGAAAATCTTGTTCAAGACCATACTCTTGGGCAGATCTCCTTTTAACAGACTCACTTAGATTTGCTCATTTAACGAATGTTCATTGGTAAAAAATATAAACAAAATAATAAATTACACTAAATAATATGATTCATTTAAAATAATTATAGAATTGTAGTTTAATTTTTTTTAAAACAAAATCATACCGTACGAAATAAGTAGAGGTATTTATGGATTGAACTAGATCAAGTTCGGATCAGATTTATATTTGATATTAATAGTTTATATATCTGTTTAAATTTGGTCCAATCCAAAATTTTTGGGTCTCAAAATTTTTTCAAGTTTGATCTAAATTAAAAAAAATAAATCTCAAATCCACTCATTAAATTTAATTTATATAATAAAAATTTAAAAAAAGTGATTAAATTAAATTTAATGATATTATATTCAATTCACATATATATATATATAAATTAAAAATAAAAATTATATAAAAGTAAAAATTAAGTTTAATAATATATATAATTTTTATTTTTAATTTATATATATATTTAAATTTATTTATATACAATTCATATATATATATAATAATAAATTTATATATACATGAATTTAGATTGGGCTCGAGTTTTAAATTTTTTATCTAAAATTATATTCAAAATTTAAATAAATTTAAAAATTAAGATTAAACTCATTTAACATACTTTAAATTTTTGTCTAAATCTTTTTAAATTTTGAATAAATCTTTTAATTTGATAAAAATAACTCAACTTTTAAAAAGTTTAGGCATACGCTACCCTACATTGAAAACAACTCGTGACCTAATTTTAGTAATTGTGCCTCGGTCAATTAGATTTGTCTACGGGACCAGGCGCTAAATAGATTTTTTAAGTTCAGTTTTGACCAGAATTATTTTTTAATTAGTTAAAAAATATTTTAATTTTAATTTTAATAACATTTAAAATATTAAAATCTTTTAGGCTCTCGTAATTTTTTTCTTTTAAATTGAATCTCTGGAATCCAACAAATCGGGTTAGACGTTGAGCAGGTACTTTTAAAGATCATTCTGTCCTGATTCGGCCCAAGTGCCGAAGCTGGACACCTCCACCATCAAGTGTTAAAATTTGCTTCAATTTTATCTCATTTTATTAATTTTTTTGGTTATTCAATAGTTAATTTCGGTCTGATCGACATAATAGCTATTTTAAATATGTTGAAGATTATAGTTTGATTTTGGTTGTTATTTTTTGTAATACAATATTATCTCATAAGAAAAACAATAATGATTGTATGATATACTAATCACAAAAAATCCATAAAGCTCTTAGAAAATAATTTGACGTAAATTTGATAATTTAAAATATTATATGATGTTATTATATAAATATGATATAAAAAATAAATATGAATGTGATATAATTTAAAATTTTAATAATAATTATATGTTAGTTTAATAAAATTTAAAAAATATATATTTTATATTTTTGTATCGATATAAATTATAATAAATTATTGTTATTTAAAAAATAATACGAATAGATGAATTTTAATATTTTAGACAACAAAAATGCACAAATCATCATGTTTAATTTCATGCACCACAAATCTTCAAACAAAAGTGCCAGATTTTTATGATTTTCATGCAAGTTATTTAACATTAAGTAAATATCTTTTAATTTTACTAAAAGATAAAATGATTTAATGAATGTTATGAGTTATAAAACAAAATGTATACTTATTAATCAAATAGAAAAGGGAGTTATTTTTTTAATAACTTGTATTGATGAAATATGAGAATAAAAATTATTAAATAATGAGAATTTGTTTATGAATAAATATTAATGCAAAATATTCCCTCTCTCTCTCTCTCTCTCTCTCTCTCTCTCTCTCTCTCTGCATACGAAATGGTACTTTATCTCCACTAATAGATGCGTGAAGAAATGATTGGTGAAAAGGGAGAAATAGAAAAAAAATTCATAAAACATTTTTTAAAAAAAAATTATAATGCATTAAGGTATAATTTCTCTTTAATTAAGAAATTATAAAAATCATTTAATTTCCAAAAATTAGAAATTGAGACTACATAAAATTAAGATTTAATTTGCATAATAAATAAAATTTAACAAAAAGGCCAAAACCATACATTAAGAAAAGTAATTATCACGGCGTTATTTATTTATTTATTTTTGAAATTGCCACTAACTTTAAGTACATGCGCTAAGTCTCTTTTGAAATGCCTTGACTGTTTCCTGTGTACACAATCTATTTTCATTTTCGTCTCTCCTTGTCTTTCTAAATGAAACTTCACGCAGGGGAGCCTCCCTTGGGCGGCAGAAGCCATGCACAGCCAAAAACAACGAAAATTGTCCTAATTATAATCTTTGTTACCTTAGTTTTGCTCACTATCATCCCTGTATTTTACCCTTTACTAGGGTATCCTTTATACCTGCTAAGAAACTCTTCTTCCAAGCCATCATCCACATATGATTCTGATCAAGAACTCCAGGCTGCTTCAATAAGGATATCGGAAGGTGAGAATTGTGACATATTTTCCGGGGAATGGGTGCCAAATCATGATGCCCCTTACTACACGAACACGACATGCTGGGCGATACATGAGCATCAGAATTGCATGAAATATGGAAGGCCTGATACAGAGTTCATGAAATGGAAGTGGAAACCTGATGGCTGTGAGCTTCCTGTTTTCAACCCTGCTCAGTTCCTGGAAATTGTTAGAGACAAGTCCTTAGCATTTGTTGGAGACTCTGTGGGTAGAAACCAAATGCAGTCCTTGATATGCCTTCTTTCCAGGGTAGGTCCCTTTATTTTCCAACTAAAATTTTCTTCCATCATGCAATACATGATTTCAACAAAATTAAACAAAACAAACAAATGGATAAAGTTTTTAAACTTTACAATCGAATTATTAAATAAATTTTCATATATCTAAAATATCTGCATGCGTCCGTTTACACACATATCATTTCGCATTTAACTCAAGAATTTAGTTGGTAGTTTGAAGTTACATAAAAGATGTTACCTTCATAAAAATAGTTTCTACCCTCGAAATGATTGTAGCATGAAACCTTTTGTATTCGACTTTTTCTTGTTTTGGCAAATGTCCACATACACTAATTATGAAGTATAACTTGTTAAATTTACATAGATTTGTTTTTTATTGTCTTATATTCAACATTTTTATGGTTTAAAGTTTATGTTTGCTTTGATTTCAGAGTTTTTTTTGGCCATATAGAGCTTTGATTCAGACTATGCTTTTGTTTAAAAAAAAAAAAAAAAAACTCAACTTGTTAAAATTGAAGTGGTCCCCTAGAATTCTATATCAATACTTGCTTTATGCATCGAATCGCTTGTCCAATCAATTGTGGTTAGAGAGCAAGGGTAGTTTACCTAAGCCACTATGTAAATCAAAGATTAGGTGAAATTAACTAAGCCAATGAATCTTTAGTGTTTACACGGTTGTTCCAATTATTAGTTCATTCACATGCATGCTAGTGCAATGAACTTTTTCCCTCAACAAACCAAATTAAAATTATAAATTTTCTAGCTAGCTAACATAATCATAAATGCTTGTGCCAAACAAAAATGTTACTTTTTTTAGTACAAGAAAGGCTGTAACCACAAGGAAAGGGAAATTGCAAGCATTGAAAACCAAATCTTAATTTTATGAAAATTTATTTTTTAAGAGAGATGAATTAATCATTTGAATTAAGTTTCAAATTCAAAATGTCATGCATCGAAAGCTGGTTCCACCAAGGTAATAATTTTGAACTTTTGAATTGTGATTTAAAATAAAACAAGAATTAGGAGAAACTAGATGTTTTAAAGCATTTTTACTTCTTGCCCCCTCTTTCTTTTCTTTTTTTTTTTTCTCTTGTGGCCTATGTACATCTAGAGAGATTTGAAAAGCTTGATTAGGACCAGGCCAAATTATTATTATTTTTTTTGCCAAATAGATGTTTACAAATTCAAAACTTTTTTTTATATAAATGATAGCCATTGAATTGAACAATTCCTAATCATAAATCACCACTTTTTGCCCCTATTACCTGTCTTTCTCTAAAATAATTAAGATGCTGCCAGCTATATATGTATGTTGACATTCTAACTAATCACCCATCAGGATTAGAAGAAAGAATCTTTCTGTACTAACCATATAGACAAACATTATTCCTTTAGTTAATTCACCTGTTTAATTATCCATGCAATCTGACAAAACAATTTTTGATTAAATATAATTGAATATTCTAAAGTTTCATCATATAATAACAAATGTCTGGTAGGCATAGCCCATGCATTTTTTGGTAATGTGGGCTCTTATGTTTGTTATCATTTGCTCATAAATTATATAATTCGTTTTGGTGGCTAAAAAATGTATAAGCACAATAGTATAGAAAATAAGATTTTTTGTTATAAAATAAAGTTAGCAAACCATATGACTTATAAAATTTCTTCTGTCAATGCTTATGCTTGTTTTATTAGTTCTAGTTTTTGATGTATTAATTTCATTGTGTTTGGTTATTTTTTATTAAAATGAAAACAAATGTTTAAAACTTCTTAATTCTGTTGGATTCTTAAGCTTTTACATTATTGTTTTAGGTGGAATACCCTTTAGATGTTTCATACACGGCAGATGAAAAATTCAAACGATGGAAATACACAACTTACAACTTCACCATTGCTTACCTTTGGACTCCACATTTGGTTAAATCGAAAGAAAGAGAGGCCAACGGTCCCACACAGACTGGCCTCTTCAATCTTTATCTTGATGAGTATGATGAAGAATGGACAGCCCAAATTGAAGAATTCGACTACCTAATCATCTCAGGTGGCCATTGGTTTTATCGTCCATCAGTTTTTTATGAAAATCACCAAGTTGTTGGTTGCCACTTTTGTCTCATACAAAATGTGACAGACTTGACAAAATTCTATGGCTATAGAAAGGCTTTCAGGACTGCTTTCAGGGCTATTAATAGCTTAGAAAATTTCAAAGGCATAACATTTCTTAGAACTTTTGCACCACCACACTTTGAGAATGGATTGTGGAACCAAGGTGGAAATTGTGTGCGAAAAAAGCCATTTCGAAGCAGTGAGACGGTGTTGGATGGCGATAACTTGGAGCTTTACATGATTCAAATAGAGGAATTCAGGACTGCTGAAAGAGAAGGGAGAAAGAAAGGGAAGAGATACAGGCTAATGGACACAACACAAGCAACATTGTTAAGACCAGATGGTCATCCTAGTAGATATGGGCATTGGCCTCATGAAAATGTGACTTTGTACAATGATTGTGTGCATTGGTGCTTGCCTGGGCCGATTGATACTTGGAATGATTTCTTGCTTCAAATGTTGAAGATGGAAGGCGTAAGATCATATCAAGAGAGGCTTTATTCAGTTGACAGGAAAATGAGATTCGAATAAATTCAGTTCCTTTTTACCTTTTTGTTTCTAATTATTTTGTATTCAATATTTTATTTTTCCTTTTTATTGTACTCTTAAGTGTTGATTTTTATTTTTTTTGTAAATAAAGCTTTATGTAAACTCCCCAATGTGAGAGAGCTCTTGAAATAAGGCGTAGGCCTAGTCAAAATATGTGGTTTGGTGCACAAGCTGAGTGCTGAAGTGAACACGTTTGGACGTTCAAATGAATGAAATCAGTTGGAGAAAAGAGTTGTCTTGTCATGAATAGTGGCCATATGTAGGCAAATGGATGATCTCGATTCTGCCAAGTGTCATCATGTCTTTGCTCCTTTGCGTTAGGAGCAGGAATGGGCCTTCTCAAGCCATGAGATTGGTGGTCCAAGGAGACTGGACATGGCCTAGGCGTAGCATGTTGAGCTAATGTTCGGTCTTGTTGGGTCCTGACTGAGAACATCCCCAACATTCAGTCCCACTTTGACCAAAAGTAGGCCCTTGTTGTCGAATTACTTGACACGTGTTATGTGCAGAAAACATGTCTTTGCGTGATAAAGGATTTGTGACTAAACCCTTTTTTATGTTGAAGTGTCTTGGTTGATCGGTCATGAGCTTTAATGCTCCTATCTTCCTTTTGCATGATGGAGGCTTTTCTAACCAAAATTTCAATTGGAAATAATTAATGTAATACTCTTCAATTGAAAATGCTATTTTTCTTCGAAAATGACAAATTCACATACGAAAATTTTCATAGATAATACTAAAAAATTTTATATTTATTGAATTTATTTAATTTGTTATAAAATTTCATTGAAAAAAACTATTACGGCAAAAAATTTTTATCGAAAATAATAAAATTTTATAAAAAAATTCAATTATAAAATTTTTAATTTTATATCATTTTTAATATATATTTCATGTCAATTTATTTTTAACTTTTTTTATATTTGCTTTCAAAATATAATAAATAAAATTCTAATTTCATTGATAATAAATAAAGTAATATTTTACAAAATTGTTACAAGGTTTGTAAAATATTGCAAAACTAAAATTTGTACCAATACGTTACAAATTTAATACAAATATTCCAAAATTTTTATGAATTTCGAAGCCAATTCCAATGTGTAAGGTCGAAAGCAGCTACAAACCAAAAGTGAAAATATAAAATATAAACCTAAACTAAAATATAAAATGTAAATGTAAAATTAAAACTAAACTAAGAATTATAAAACTAAATATGGAGAAAAAGGAAAAAACTGATGAATTATATAAGATTAAAGTAAGTATAGTAAAAGTTTCAAGGGATGACATACAATGAAACTAGAACATTTGAACATTTTGAACAATTTTTAAATGATGATCATTTATTGGGTTACCTATCAAGTTAACCCAAACAATATTAAAAAAAAGTCCTCAAAATGCCTAAATGCACATGACCCACAATGCAAACTACAACACTCTTGCACTTCGAACAATTTTTACATGACAATTTTTACAAAGGGTGGCCCTTCCACTCGGCACCGTCGGATCACTAAGGCCGACTTTCGTCCCTGCTCGACGGGTGGGTCTTGCAGTCAAGCTCAAAGATAACTATTTAATTTAACATATATAACTATATAATTTAGTTTATCAACCTGAAGGATAATAAAAAAACAAAGATATCTATTCAATTCATTCAACTTATTTTTTAAAACAAAAAAAATAAAAAAAAATTATATTTCAATGAATCGCACATCATTCAGTCTAAATGTTACATGAAGAACATAAGCCACACCCTTATTTCATCTAGTAATATACAAAAATTATCTTTTCGTTTCTTCTTTTTAGTCTCGTATCATGTAACAACCATATAATGAATAACAAATGAATCTTTAAGGTGAGAATTCTCAGGCCGGAAGGGACCTATCTCGCTGTTTTAAAAGTCCTAAAGATGCCTAAATGCACCAAACATATGATGCACAATGCAAACTAAAACATTCTTACAGTTGAAACAACTTTTAATTGATAAATTTAAGCTAACAATTAGGTCCAAACTATATTTATTGACCAGCCTATCAAATTAGCCCTTAAAAAGTACCCCAAAAGTCAACAAAATGCCTAAATGCACAAAAAAATTGAGTGATTGATATGAACTGCATGAGATACCAATCATTCAACATGAAGAAAAATAATTCATATCTACTAGAAATTGAGCTTTTGAAAGGATTAGCTAACATAGTAACTACCTGCACATCCTACCATCATCAAACATAATTGTGAACTATCTTTGAATATAACAATTTTCATTAGTAAATGTGAAATATAATTAGGGAATGAACTGCTAAATATTAATTATAATTTTATTATAAATCTTTCAAATCTCAAGAGCTAGACAAATTGATTACGATTTTGTGATTAATTTAAGAGAGCAAATAACAAATAAACTATTTAATTTTATAAACGACGCTAATAGAGTGAAACATATCTCTTAGTATATATTTAAAAAAATAAAAATAAAAATTAAAAAAAAGGAAATATGTGTCACTTTTTTCATCTCGTGAGTTAAAAAATTTTATTGACAAAATATCAAATAATTTTTTCAAATTAAAACCTTTAAAAAAAGTGTGAATAACTTTGGATGCTGAGTTACAGCAGAACTTGAGAGATACCTTTATCTTTGATCTGATTTCTTTTTTCTTTTTTTTTTTTGTGATGGATCGATCCTTAGCTTTTATCTTGAATAACAATTATTGTTATTGAATTAATTAAAATTTTGCATGAAAAAAAAATTAACAAGAGAGATGACTTCCCTTAGAGTAATTAAGCTCGTATATGGAGGAACAAAATTAGCATGAAAAACTAAAATGGCTACTTTCTATTGAAGGGTCATGAAGAAAGCAGTGATAGAAATGGCATGACTATTATCCATTTTCCTTTCAAAAAAGTTGTGACAAAATTCATGCCAGATCCTCGAATTAACTGATAATTTTTATCTAAAAATATGTTTCGTAGAATAAAAAATAAAAAAATGAATAGGAAAGGGAGAAAAAAATGAAAATAAATAGAAAATTGACATTAATATATTTATATTAAAATTCAATTTTTAATAAAATTAAAATTTTATTATTTTTAATATAAAAATTAAACAAAAATCATAAAATATAATTTTTAAATATTAAAAAAATAATTTTAAAACATCCCAAAAAAAATTAAAGAAAATGAGATGGAGGTATTATATATACATGCCAAAATTTTCCTCTGACATCTGCATGAATGACGAATCTAAAAGTGTTAGATATTTAACTAGTAATTTTTTTTTATAAAAATATATTTAAGCTAATCTCACAAAAAGAAAAAAAAAAAACTTTATTAACTCCAAATATATATAATGTAAAAAATTCAAGCTAATTATGGTTAAAAATCATTATGTTCATATCCATATCTAATCATGACCTGTCACCAAGCGGGCAAGCCCATCATACTTGGCCCAAGCCTGGTTTGACATATGATAATGTTTTATTATTAAATAATTTTTTATTTAACTTTAACTTTGTGATAACTTTAAATAATATTATAAAAATATTTTAATGATAAATTAAAATTAAAAGCATTTAATTGAGTTTAATTGGAAAATTTGCACCTGGCACAAATATAAAACTTTTTTTATTATTATTTTATCTAAATCCACCGACAAAAAATGTAACACACATAAAATCTAGCTTTACGCATGCCAAAACTAGTTTTTAATTTGTATGAACTTGATTATGCACTTTAGAGGACCAGCCACTAGGCCATCTATCATGATCATTGCCTACTAGAGAAATGGTGACCTGATTTGCATCCAAGAGAAAATTATTAATGAGGTTGTTCAAGCATCAACAATTTGGATGGGAATGAAAATTCCAAGGCTTTCAAAAGTTTGGTGGGTTAGGGGTCTAATCTTTGAAGATTGATGGTAGCATCTTCAAATTGCAAAATGGCTGGATGATTCTCTAAAAGGGAAAGCGATATGAGAATAAGACTAAATGTTTTATTTTGTTGGTATTCATCTTAAATTATTTTATGAGATAATTAATAAACTAAAAGACCAAATTTCAAAAAAAAAAAAAAACTAAAACTAAAAGACCCAAATTAAAATAAAATCAATGCATGAATCAAATTGATTTTAAAATTTAATTCAGTTAATTATATAATTATCTAAAAAATAATATCTTATAGATTTAATATTCAAATTTCAATATTTATAATTTTTTAATACTCAAAATATAATTTTTTTATATTAAAAAAAATGTGGTGAACTTTTCATAAGTTTAAAATTGACTTATCCCAGCAGCCTCCATATTATCTATAATTCCTAAAATATTGTTTACAGGCAAATAATCAGATGCTTTTGGCCAGTGGATATATTATATCCTATCCTTTCAATTACCCCAATTTGGAATGTTTCGTGTTATGTTCGTGGATATATAGATTGGATTCATGTGTTCAAAACTATTCTTTAGACTATCCCTGCTTTAAAATATTCAGTTGTTTGCTCTATGATTAACTCTAACCAAGACTATGATTTGATAATTATATAACTATTTATGGTCTGTTCTCTCAAATATGTTCCAACAAGCATTAAATTAAGATCTCATAATAGAGTTCAATTTTTTATATGCAAAACGATGAAAAGGAGATTTGATTATTTGATATTAACCTCCTTAAAAGATTATATATATATTTTTTCACACGGTATAATTGTGTATCTAAAATTAATTTTAAAAAATTATAATTACAAACAACAATTACATTTTATATAAGTAATCGACGAATTCAAATATTCAATCTAACAAATGAACTCATATATAAAAATTAAATCAAATACAAAACTAAATCAAAATTAATACAATATAAATTTTTTTTTTGTGAAACATTTTAATATTTAATAATCACTTTGATTCTCCATTAATCCGGAGTCAAGTTGAGTCAGATCCCGACAAGCTCTCCCAATGCCAATTTAATATACTATAAAATACACTCTAAGATTTGAGATGAGAGCTCTTGCCATAAGAAAAAGCCACATTGGCAACGTAATTTTAGTGTTGGATTTGTAGTCTACTAGGCCCTAATTACGAAATATGAAGGCACCAAGTAGTGCAAAGAGTGGGTAATCAGCACTTCACATATTGTTAAAGCAAAAGAGTGGTTTATAAAAGAAGGATGTTGTGAAAGGTGGAAGGCATGAGCAATAAAATTTTGCAATCAAAAATTGCTTTGCTCCTAAGCGACTCCTGTCCAACATAGCACTAATAGTTATTATTGATCAAAGACCAATTTCACTTTGGGGTCACGACATGTTTGAAGTGTGAGCTAACATGGTGTGGCTCAAGGTTTTCATGAGCCTCATCATTACTGCAAATAGTTCAGAATGAAATGATATTGACTGATGATTGAAGTTAAAAACTGTTACAGGTTTCCCCTGCTGATCAGCTCTCTGCGAAAAGCAAAGAATCAGAGCCAAAAGGACTTGTAGTTTACTGCTTCCAAATGGATGATAGAGCACAAAAAGAGATGCGATCTCTTGGTAGGCTGTAATGTCAAAGTGTCACTTTTTACTGTTTGTCTTTATAAGAAATTATGTGAGTTTGAATAAAAAGAAATCATGAAATGAAATGCCAATTAAATCAGAAATTTAGGCATATCTTATAGCTATTGCATGCACCGACAAAAAAAAAACCTGGAGCAGGATGTAATCAAACATAATTTGAAGTTTAGATTATCAAATGAGAGTAAAGTTTACTGATTTTGACTGTTAATTCATGGAGCTGCTTTGATTTTTCCAACTCTTAACATATCATTATTCTATGCTTTGATTTTCTCCTTATCGTAGTTTTGAACCTTTCAATCTTCAATCTAAAGCAAAGCTGATATTATTCCTCCAAAAACAGTGGACAAAAACAGCTAAAAGAGTTTTAGTTTTGCTATACCAGAAGATAATTCCCTGTTCAGTCCAGAAGATAATTCCCTGTTCAGTTTAACTATGTGCCTAAATTGTAAAAGACAAGAATCCCATGTTGTAAAGAAGAACAAAGTTATACCAAACTTAATCTGCTGAGCTTTCTTTTGAAAAGAACAAAAAGAAAAAAGGCATTCCGATTCTTTCATTGTGATAAGTATGTAATTAATTATTCATCATGATGTCTTGGCAATTTCATGTTTATATCATGATGATCAATTAGTTGGTGTCAGTAGCTGTTTAAATGTCATTGTTAATACATATAAATTGAACAAAGCACTGAAGTTTCTTGCTTCATGCTTCTCCACTATGAAGTTCCAGGTTATTCAGCTATCCAATGGAAAGAACTCTCAACAAAACAGTTCCACTAAAGTTTTCCTGGTAACCCTTTCGCTCATTCTCATCAGTTCAATCCCTCTAGGTCTCCTGAAAAGTTCCCATTCGCCATTGCCATCTCCCAAGATTAATATAAGTAGCCTGAGAAGCATCGAGCTAGATAACAAATGTGATGTATTTAAGGGAAAATGGGTGCCTCATCCACAAGGTCCCTACTACACTAACGAAACTTGCCGCCTCATCATTGATCAGCATAACTGCATGAAGTTTGGGAGACCTGACTCGGAGTTCATGAAATGGAGGTGGAAGCCAGATGACTGTGTCCTACCCCTCTTTGATGCAGCTCAGTTCTTAGAGATGGTTAGAGGGAAGTCGATGGCCTTTGTTGGGGATTCAGTAGGAAGGAACCAAATGCAATCATTACTGTGCCTCTTAGCTGATGTAAGTTCCTAACCATTATTTGCCACCATCTATTGTCTAAAATTCTGCACATAATTATCTCCACAATCTGGAAGTTATGTAGCCAAGCTTAAACCATTTGAACTACAGTATGTCTAGGACTGCATATAAAATGAAAATGAATTCATGACAAGAGGAAGCTGCTTTACATTTATGTATTTACTTTCTGAACTTTGAAGTATGCTGTTGCATCTATCAGAGAGTGATCGGCTTTATTCTGTATCTTCCAGGTAGCATATCCAGAAGATATTTCTGATAAACTTTCAGCAGACACCAATTATTTCAAGCGTTTGTTCTATGCTGATTACAACTTCACCCTAGCAACATTTTGGTCACCGTTCTTGGTTAAATCCAGAGATGCAGACCCTGATGGTCATTCCTACAACAGCCTCATGAGCCTTTACTTGGATGAAGCTGATGAAGCATGGGCTAATGAGATAGAAAATTTTGATTATGTGATCATATCAGCAGGGCAATGGTTCTTCCGCCCACTGCTTTTCTACAACAAGGGCCAACTTGTTGGATGTCACAAGTGCAATGGAAACATCACAAGCCTTACCAGGTATTCTGCATATAGAATGGCCTTCAGAACCGCTTTCAGAACTCTTCTTAGCCTTAAAAACTACAAGGGTACTACATTTTTAAGGACATTTTCCGCGTCCCACTTTGAGAACGGAGATTGGGATAAGGGAGGAAGCTGTGCTAGAATAAGACCCATTACTGGCCAAGAAATGAAGCTAGAAGAGTTTAACATGGAGTTCTACCTGACTCAAGTAGAGGAACTAAGAACAGCAGAGAAAGAAGGGAAGACAACTGGCTTAACATTTCAACTGCTGAACACTACAGAAATTATGTGGTTGAGACCAGATGGACATCCGAACAGTTATGGACATTCGATGAATAGGAATGCGACAGTAAACGACTGTGTTCACTGGTGCTTGCCAGGCCCCATCGACACATGGAATGAGTTTTTGCTATATTTGATGAAGAGGGATGCTCTACAAAGGTTAAGAGCAAAGTTGATGAAAAATGCCTGATCAAACTTACATTCTAATTGTTCTGAAGTATGCTCTCCAGTTTAAATTATTAATTCTTTGCTGCTGTAAAAAAAAATATATATTTTCATTATTTACAATACATAAAACATTTGTGGATTTGAGATTGTATTTGAAATCTTATCTGTAAAAGTATATTGTTTCATAAAGGAAATACAACAATTCTTGATCAACCGTCGTTATATCAAAATACATTATTAGTGCTCATAATACTAAAAAATCATTATAGTTCTCTTCCAGAAACAGAGTCAGTGAAATTAGGAGATGAGAAATCATTATTGTTCTCTTCCACAGTGGCCTGATGAGCGCAACCAGTAGACCTGACAGGAGCAATGGATCCAATGCAATAGAAGAACCAATAGTTGTTTTATGTTTCTGATTTATCTCTGGCATAGGTAAAAAAGTTTAGGCGACAACTATTCTTTTTCCAAGATATTTCAAAGAAGAAATAAAGAGAAGCTTTGTTTCTGTTGCAAAGGTTGCTTTTTTATTGTTCCTGATCCACCAATTTGCAAGTTCCTGCATTTTCAATGTGTTTTATTCCACCGAGTTGCTGAATAATGTTTTAGCTTCACAAATTTACTTGGAATGTATCAACATCAATCTTTACGGGTGCTTACGGGCACGTATGTATACACATTAGCAAAACAAAATGTGGGAGAAAATATGAACTCGGAACAAATATCACAATGGGAAGAACACATGGGCTTCTGTATGCAAAAGGAAAAAACATTATGAGAAAGATCAGAGTAATCCTGAGATGTTCTTCAAAATGAAATCCTGATGAAGACCAAGATGTGCAAAGCTAAAATGTAGAGCACAAAGGCCGACCTGAGTAGAATGAGCCTCGGTTGATTCTCACTCCGGCCAACAGTGGAATTAGGAAGCTTGTGATGAGAATCAACAGAAAAATCCGAGGAAGATCCCTTATCAGAAGCACCTTTTCCGAATCGATTCCTGGCAGTATTCACCTCTGCATTACTACTTTCTAGCTTTGTCCACAAACCATTCAACCTCTCTAGTTCCTTCTCTTTCAAATGAATTTCACCAACAAGGCCTTCTGCTTGTGCCTAAAAAAACATTTAAAATGTTCCTTTTGAAAATGACATCATAAAAGAAGCCTATACCAACACCAGAAAGACATTTAAACACAGCTTTTTTTTTTTTTTTTGACAATGACAATATAAAGAAGTTAATGGTTGATGTAGAACACATGGTATAGGGATAAAGCTACGCAAATCCAATATCCAATTCCCAACCACCTCAGTTATGATCATGAATTGGAGGCAGCCCACTTGGGGAATATGATCAATGGCTGAAAGCTTGGAGTGAATCTCAAGAGTAACTTTTTTGTGTATATAGTTGGATTCATTTTAAATTATAGGATAAATTAAATAACTGACCTGCTTTCCAGCTAGTTGCTCAATTAGGCTGTGAAGCTGTTTGTCCAATGCCTTCTCTCTTTGAGCTGCATAAGAGACATTGATTAATCAGAACAAAGTTTAAGTGGGTTCATTTCTACCCCAACCACCTTTTTGCACTCTTTTGTCTCTTCTTAATAACAAGAAAAGGTTCAACAAAAATTGGCATTACACAGAAAAGTAACCTCGTAATAAAGGAAGAAACATATGATAAAATGTATCTCTGCAGGCAGGAGAAGTCCTATGCTCCCATTACCACCACAAGAAGAAAGCAATTCATTCAGAATTTTTTTTTCCTTCGCTCCGTCTCTATTTACACATTAAAAGAATCACCTTTCACCAAAGTGACACAAAAGAACTTGGGAGCATTTCAAACATTTTTTCTAAAACCTTACCCATTTAATAATCGTAAAATCCCACTGAAACTTCAAATCAAGATTTTAAAATATTTAAGAACTGCAAAATCCCACAAAAACTTCAAATAAAAAAAATTTAAACTAACTTCAACCAGATCATAGAAAACCCAACTCTGCTATTGCTTCGGAATAAGGGGTTCTTAATGATAACTACTTTCAATCTAGAAATGAATGAACAACAGGACACCAGCAATACAAATTTTTACAACTTCATTTGTCACATATTCCAACTTATTACTCCTTTTGTTCTTACTTCCAACATCCTATCAAAGATCTGGTTTTGATTTTCAAGAGGGACATCATAGTTGATCCTTTAAAACAGAAAAGAAAAATTAGAACAAAAAATAATAGCAAAAATGGAAGACCCCATTTAACAACAAATCAATGGCATGCCAAAAAAGAGATTATTGAAAGATCATGATATAACAAGGTAGAAGTTTGTCTCATTGACATTCATTATAAAATCAGTGTTTGTGAGCTCATAAGACAAGCACTAAAAGAAGGGCTTTGATGTAAGATACCTGGAGAAGGCTGCTTCAATGCTTTATTCTGGATATTTTCCCATTTATTCTCTAAATCTTGAATTGTCTCTTCAATTGAGCTCTGAGGATATTATAGAACTTGTCATCAGCAAAAAGAAACAGCAGCAGCAACTCAACTAAAGTAATAAGGATAAAATAGGAAAAAAAACATAGTGCAAAATCAAAAGTGATGAAATGGACCAATTCTTTTTTCTTCTTCTCTAACTTGTCTAGCATGGCAGATTTTTTTGAAGCTTCTATGTCGGCTTCATCTTCAGCACTAGTTGTGGATTCAACCACGGAGTCAGCTGGTTTTCTAGAATGACTGGTATCCATGACAGTCTGTGCAGTTTCCAATTCAGCTCTCAGACTTTTCTCAATGTCATCCATCTCCTAGGAAAAACATGAAAAATGGAGTAAGTCTTTAATTTTAATTAGAGTTATCACTATAAAAAAATGTGATTATAGTATATTAATATATATTAAGATATGCAAGAAAAAATAAATACTTTAAAAATTAAAACAAAATTAATACTGTAGAAATAAATGGGTGAAATTCTAGTTGAGCATAAAAGTGCATGATAGAACTCATCAAAAACATGAGTTTCTTGATTATCTTCAAATTCGTAGATATGCAAGATCCCTATTCCATGGCAATTTGAAATACCTTAATCATTTATAGAATTTGAAATTCATCTGGTTAGACCCTATTGAATGCATAACTGTATTGAATTTTATCTAGCTTTGAGTAATGTTTAACACCATCCCTCCCAATTTTATATAACAAATCAAATTTAAATCCATTCTCTCAAATTCATATTTTCAAACATAAGAATGAAGTTCTAGAAACAGCATATCCACCTAGAGGCACATCCTTCCTAAAATACAGATGCTTTAACATGACAGTGTATGATAAGAAATCCTATAATATTAAAAAAAAGGTCTTGAGTGTAATTTGATGAATCATATAGAAGTCATGAAAGCAGAATGTAGAATAAGTTTTGGAACCTCTGCCCTGACCTTTAACTTTGCACAAAGCATATCTGCTTCTTGTGCCTTCTCATGTATTTTATTCTCACAATTTGATATAGCCCTTTCATATGCAGTGTTTTCTTGTCGCAATGTCTCCTCTCTCAATTGGGCCTGGTCATAAGAAGTGTTGTCAAGTATTAGTAGGGAAAAGGTAAACATTACCCATGGATATGGAATTTTGTTGAGAAAAAAAAACTCTTCCACATATCAAAACATGCTGAAAAGCAAATATCTAATCTCAAAATCAGTACTAAAAAAATGCTATCAAGTGAATAACTTTTTCCTTCACTCCTATATGCATTATCCCTTGTCTGATATAAGATCACACCCTAAGAAATGAAATTTCAAAAGCAGCCTGCCTTTTAAATTTTTTAATGTCACAACTAACAAGCTATCATAATGCTACACCAAATGCCAGAAAACTTAAAGTTTCCTGTCACAATTAGCCAGTTAACTCTAAACAAACTTCAAACTTGATGTTGCAAATGAAGATGGTAGTTTTACAAAAGTAAAAAAGCTTGTATTTAATAATGCCTAAACAGACATTAATCACTTCTTTATCTGTAATTAGAATTGGCAATCTAAAACATACACAGCAACACGACATGAACACAATACAAAAAAAGGACACAAAAGTGATACGATTTAAAATTTTAGCAATAACCATATATGGATTTAACAAAATAAAAAAAAAATGTATTTCATATTTGCATGCTGACACAAATTGTGACATGTAATTTTCGTATAAAACATGATACAAATACATGAATTTCAATATTTTACATGACAAGAATAGATGAATTGCTAAGTCTATCTGTAATAGATGAAAAGTAACTTCATCTGCCTTAATAAGTTATCTTTTAACCCACAATATAAAACTCCTCATTGAAAACAAATACTAAAAAAAGAAAGCATAAAACTTGCTCAAATAAATTCAATCAAAATTGAAAGAGAATGTATTGCACATAGCAATTAGAACAAAATTCAAGAAAAGAAATGAAAAAAAAAAAAAAAAACTTTACAAATTGGATAACATTCAAAGGGAAAAAGCTTCATTACAATTACACCCACCAAAAGAAAACCATTAAGACAGAACCTAGATGAGAAAATGCAAGAAAAAATTAAGCTTGAAAAATCACAACTAAATAAAAAAAAAAACCCAGAAAATAATTCAAATAAAAAACTATATACCCAAAGTATAGAAAAGGAAGAATTAAAGAATAAAAAGAAAACCTGCTGACGAGTAGCAGAATGAGCGTTGAGTTGGAGAGCAAGAGCGGCATTGGAAGCCAGAGAGTGGGCGTGGAGATGAGGGAGGCGTTGGGAGATGTCAGGAGGAGGTAACCTGAGACGTAGATCTTGGATCTGACGGCTGAGAGAGGAAGCCTTTCGGTCCAATTCCTGAACGTACTTTTGCTGCTCTGTAGAGAAAATTAATGGGATATTGTCGACATCATCGTCTTGACTATTGTTTCCTCCGTGGCCTCCGACCACGTCCGCTGCCCATGCTAATAACCCCGCCATATCTGTGTCTGGTTCAAAGGATCTGCAAGCTTTGTGTTTTGAGATTGGGGATCTCCTCCTGTGCAAAATTCAAACGAATGGGCTGGGCCGGCCTGGTACAGCCTAAGATTGGGCTCCATCTTGATCTGGCCGTGTTATATTGGTCGTGTCAGCTCCTGGCAGTGGTTTTGGATCAAATACCATTCAGTTTGATTATTTCCTATTCCATTTTATATGAATCGAATTTTATAAAAATATTGAATTGATTCGACCATCGATTTTGTTTAATTTATCAGTTTTTTTTTTAATTTATTTTTATATTTTAAATACATTTAAAAATTTAAATGTAAAATAATTATTTTATTTTATAAAATTAAAAAACATATAAAATTAATAAAATATATAATTCATTAGAATATTTTTAATTTTTTTTATATAAAAATCAATTCGAATCAAATTAAAATATAAAATATAAAATATTCGAATTTCGATATTCACATATTACAAATTTTTTTTTTTTAATTCTTCAATATCTTAGATTTGCTGATAAGAAAACTTTGAAGTAAGGACTTCACTGGTTCACCCCAATTTCCTTGCTTGCAAGTTGTGATGGGGTGTAAAAACCGTGTTGAATATATATTAATATGCAAGTCCCAAAAGCCTGAATTGGAATGCCCCCAATTCTATACATTTTGTTAACCTCTTAAGCATTGAGAAATAAAATTCAACGTAAATTACAATTTTAATTTATTTAACTTATATAATTATTTTTTAAAAAATAAGATATTTTAAATAATAAATATAAATTTTAAATTTTAATACTTGTATTCTCAAGTTTCGAATCTTATGTAACCCCAAATTATTTATTTATCCCTTCCTTGGTTTGTTTACATATTCTAAGATTTTGAAAAAGAAAAATGTTTGCATGGCTTGCAATCCTTGACAATCCCATATTCATCTTCTTCCTCCTCCCTACTTAACTTCCAATCTAATTTAACCCTTCTTCCTTCATTTTGTTTCTTGAAATTTTGATTTTGCCATTGATGAACATCACCATTTAAAAACAGGCTACCTCTGTTTCCTCCCACTTTCCATGCACCGAATGCCAACAAAGTTCATTCAAATCAAGCCAATAAAAGAAATGTTGAAAAAACTAAGGAGAAAAGTCAAGACCATAATTACAAAGTCCTGTAAAAAGGCAAAAAAACCTTCTAAACCCCCAAAATCACCATCTCCCTCGCCACCACCATCGCCATCTCTATCGCCATCTCCATCTCCATCTCCATCTCCATCTCCATCTCCGCCAATGTCACCACCAAAACCTCAAACCCCCCAGAAAAGGTACCCTTTTCTCTTCCCCAAAGTACAGTCCTCAGTTCTCCCTGACCCTTCCCTTTTCTTCTCCCCTGACCTCCTCTCAACTCCTCTCCCTACAAACTCTTTCTTCCAAAACTTTACTCTTAAAAATGGCGATCAACCTGAATACATCCATCCATATCTCATCAAATCAGCTGACTCTTCCATTTCTATCTCCTACCCATCTCGCTTCCACAACTCTTCGTTCTTGTACCAAATTTTTATCTCTGATCTGACCATCTTTGCGACAGATAAAACCCACCCAACTTCACTGAAAAACCATATAATCTCTTCTTACAGTGATTTAAGTCTTACTATAGATCTCCCCTCTTCAAACCTCCGATTCTTTCTTGTCCGAGGTAGTCCCTTTTTAACCTGTTCTGTAACAGGCAATACTCCAATATCAATCTCTACGATTCATGCAATTCTCTCATTTTCTTCAAATAGTTCACTCACCAAGTATACCATTAAGCTCAACAACAATCAAACTTGGCTTATATATACATCTTCACCCATCAGTCTGGAGCATAATCTTTCTTTGATCACTTCTGGTGGGTTTTCGGGTATTATTCGGATAGCTGTACTGCCAGATTCTGATCCAACATATGAGTCCATTCTTGATCGGTTCAGTTCATGCTATCCAATCTCAGGTGATGCAGTTTTCACTAAACCATTTTGTTTAGAATATAAATGGGAAAAGAAGGGGTGGGGAGATTTGCTTATGCTTGCACATCCACTTCATCTTAATATTTTATCTAGTGACGATTGTGATGTTAAAGTTTTAGAGAATTTTAAGTATAAAAGTATTGATGGGGAGCTTGTTGGTATTGTTGGTGATTCATGGGTGTTGAAACCACACCAAGTTTCAGTAACTTGGCATTCTATTAAAGGGGTGAAAGAAGAATCATATCCTGAGATTGTAACTGCTCTTTGTAAGGACGTTGAGGCCTTGAATTCATCGGCTATAACAACAACATCATCTTATTTTTATGGGAAGTTGATTGCGAAAGCAGCAAGGTTGGCTTTGATTGCTGAAGAAGTGTGTTTTCTTGATGTGATTCCAGCAATAAGGAAGTTCTTGAAGGATACAATTGAGCCATGGCTGGATGGGACTTTTAATGGGAACGGTTTTTTTTATGACTCAAAATGGGGTGGAATTTTAACTAAACAAGGGTCAGCTGATTCGGGGGCAGATTTTGGTTTTGGAATTTACAATGATCACCATTATCATATTGGTTACTTCCTTTATGCGATTGCTGTCTTGGCCAAGATTGACCCAACATGGGGAAGGAGGTATAAGCTCCAAGCTTATTCACTTGTGGCAGATTTTATGAACTTAGGCAGGCGATTAAATTCAAATTATCCACGTTTGAGGTGTTTTGATTTCTATAAACTCCATTCTTGGGCTGGAGGGTTGACTGAATTTGCAGATGGACGGAATCAAGAAAGCACTAGTGAAGCAGTGAATGCATATTATTCTGCTGCATTGATGGGGTTAGCCTATGGAGACACTCATCTTGTTGCAACTGGATCAACACTTACAGCAATGGAGATTCAAGCAGCACAAACATGGTGGCATGTAAAGGAGGGAGGTAATCTGTATGAAGAAGAATTCACAAGAGAGAACCGAGTGGTAGGAGTTTTGTGGGCTAACAAGAGGGACAGTGGCCTTTGGTTTGCTCCTCCTGACTGGAGAGAGTGCAGGCTCGGAATTCAGTTGCTACCCTTATTGCCTATCAGCGAGGTTTTGTTCTCTGATATTGGCTTTACTAGAGAGCTTGTGAACTGGACATTGCCAGCACTAGGAAGGGATGGAGTGGGAGAGGGATGGAAAGGGTTTGTCTATGCCTTGGAAGCAATTTATGACAAAGAGAGTGCATTGGAAAAGATAAGAAACCTGAATGGTTTTGATGATGGGAATTCACTTACTAATCTGTTGTGGTGGGTTCACAGTAGGGGTGATGAACATGAAAATGAAAGCGGTGCTGGGGGAAAGTATTGCTGGTTTCCTCACTATTGTCATTAACTTCAGTTGTCTTATATTGGATTGGGTGAATAAATTAAACCATGAAATGTTGCTTCTGGAATTAGTTCTGCTATTTTCATGACTCTGTTGCTTAATGCTATATATGAATTGATATAAAGTTCCAAGTTAAATGGATTCATTAATTTGATACACTGTGCTGTTTATTTAGCTGAAATTTCATTTCTTTCTAATCAATGGTTTTTATCAGTAATGCTCTCCCTCTTCACTTGCTTAGCCTTACACCAAAAGTTATGCTGAGTACAAGAACGGGATCAAACTTATTAGCTGGTTCCATTTTCCTTCACAATTACAAGTTTTAATTATAAGAGACATCACAAAATATAAGATGAACATGAGTTTTCAATGGCCATGAAACTGGGTTTGCAACCTAAAAGGCAGTTCAAAATGGAGTGAAGTATACCACAAAGAAACAAGTTTTCCAGGTTATTGTATCTCTCTGAAACATCTTAACTGTCAAATTAGCATTCGTTGATTGTCATGTTAAGAATCATTTCAATTAATTCAACTCAATGTGTCCATCTATTTACAAAATATTTTATTATTAGAATAAAATAACATTATTTTTATATTAATATTTTAAATATGTTTTAAAATTATAACTAAAATTATAATATTTATTAATTTATAGATATGGATAAAATCAACATATGCTTTGGATCGTGCAACAATTTTACTTGTCAATGAGAAGCCCAAAAGAACAAACTTAGTTGGGCCAACCTTCACTTTGAGTTCTAAATTATCTGTTTCTTTTTTCAAAAGAACAGTAGTTAAAATATGTTTTGAAGAGAAAAAAAAAAATCTTCTCAATCAGCATCAATTTGATTTAAAAATTTTACTAGCAAGTTAGAGAGTTGCCATATATTTCATCAAATTAAATCTTCAAAAAATAAATTTAATGAGACGCGTAGGTAATTTTCTAGCATCAGATTTAAAAACTTCATCCATAAAGTAAAAAAATAAATTTTTTAACCAAAAATAAAAGGGTAAAGGCTAAAAATAGTTTCGAATTCTAATTTAATAATTATTTAAATTTTTAATATTTTATTACAATTAATCAAACTTTCAATTTTTTATTTCGATTTAATTAAAATTTTAATTGGATAAAATTTAATCAAACAATTCAACCTTTAAAAGATCTTAAAAAAAGTGGGAAAGAAAAAATATATATTTTATTTAATTTTTATACATATTAAATTTTTAATGTGATAAATTTTTATTTATTTTATTGATATCATATAAATTTTTATTTTAATTAAAAAAATTAATGATGTTAATTTTTAATTCAAATTAAAATTTAATTAGATTCAAATAAATATTGAAGCAATTAATTAATTATAATAAAAAATAAAAACTTTAATGATTTTTTTATTATAGTTTTAATAGTTGGATACTTAATGCAATAAAACAGTGAAACTTTCATGACCTAATCATTTCACGATATATAATGTTAAAAGAAAGAGAGAGGAAGCTTTCGATGGCTTGAAATTGAAGTTACAAGAAATCCATCTGCCATAATTAGCTCAACAAACCTCGACTTCAAAAGGCTTATTTAATCCATGCCTTGCTCATTAAAACAAAAACATAATAATAAATTAATAAAACAAAGTTCCCATATGAAACGAATCTCCATAAAATTAATAATTATTGTGGCTTTTTTTTTTAATTGTTTCTTACCCTATAAACAGCACATTTAAAACAAACAGGGGCAGTTGAAACAAGATTCAGATCTCAGCGCTGACTTGTTGGGAATTTTTTTTTTATCTAGGACCCGTTAATAATTATCTTGGTTTTTTTTTTTTTAATCGTTTCTTACCCTAAAAACAGCACGTTCAAAACAATCATGGGCAGTTGAAATAACAATAACATCTCAGCGTTGACTTATTGGGATTTTTTTTTATCTAAAATTTTTAATGTTCGATAATTATTTTAGATTTTAATTAATTTAAAATTAAATTAAGGTGAATCTTATAAGAGATAATAAAATTTTTAAATTTATTTTTTATTTGTAAAATTTTAAAATTAAAATTTTATTTAAAAACTATCGAACTCTTTATCATTTAAAAATTAATAGCTTATTGAGATATTATTTATTAGTAAATAAATGATTAATCCCAACTCGGCTTCGGAGTTTTTTCTTCACCTTCCTTTGCTTTTTGTCTTTAATGTATTTTCTCTGTCCAAATTGTTTAGGTCATATTGAATTTTATGAAATTTAAAATAAGTTTTAATTTTAATATATTTAATATTAAAATTTAAATTTTTTATAAAATTAAAGTTTTATAATTTTTAATATTAAAAAATAATTTTAGAACATCTCTAAAAAAATTTAAAAAAATAAAAAAGAGAGAGTAACAAATTTCTACTTTATCTGTAGTGAATATCTTTTACAATCGCATTACCTTTTAATAAAATATTAAATTTTTAATTTTAATAATCAAAATTAAATTTCGATAACTTTAAATACAAATGAAAAACTTAATTATTATTATTTTTAATTATATAAAAAAAATAAACCTTTAATAAAAAATAGTAATTTGAAATTAGACCCTTGATATTTCGTTAACGCCTTTAACCACCGTGACAATGAAGTTTCACTTTTCCATGTTGGATAATGTTGTGATCATTTACACTTTTTAATCAATTCCGACAGCATTTTATCCAAGCTTTTTATCTTTTTGTTATTGGACAGCACCCTTAATACAAAAATTTGGCTCTATGCTTAAATTCAATTCATCTTTTGATCTTGTGGGTTTGTACTGAGAATTTTAAAATTCTTAAAAATTTTAAAATATTAATATTTTGAAATTTATTAATTTAAAATAATAGAATTTGTAATTATATTATTTGGATAAATATTTTTTAAAATGTTTGAATTTAAAATTTATTTTTTAACAAGAAACCGTTGCTTAAGAATAAAAATATATATATTAATTTTAAATTTTAAATATATTAAATATATTATTTTAAAATAATTATATAAATCAATTAAAATAACTTTCGAATTTAATTTTAAATTAAACTTCCGTTAAAAAGAATCTTATTTTATCCACTTTGATGGCATATATGCTACTACTATTAAACTAGTTATATCAAATGGACACTTTTTAATTTTCAAAATACTTTTGCAACTTTTGACTGTCTCCCCTACTTAATCCTCAAAACATAATTCAAATTTAGCTTGATATATAAATTTATTAATTCTCATTAAGAAAGTTAAAAAAAAAAAACCCTTATTAAGAAAGTAGAGATTTAAATTAAAAAAGCTCATTTTTATTGGAATTCTTCATATGTGCTAAACAAAAATAATATTTGCATTTTGGATCACAAAGAACAGAAGTTTTAAAATTTAAGATTGTTTATTGAATGCTAAATTTAAACCCCAAAGCTTCCCAAAAGTGCAAAAAAGAAAACAGAACACAAAAAGAAAAGTAGTTAAATTTACTATTTTGTTTAATGTAATTTAAGGATGAAATCGAATTGAATTAATATAACAAGAAGTTTGAATTTAATTTAAAATTTATTTTTTAAAATTTAGCTTAAATTTAATTAAATTAAATTAAAATTTTATTTTAATAAAATTTAAATAATTTATGAATATTAATTTATCATTTACTCAATTAATCTAGGAATACAAGTTATAAAGTTTGATTAAACAAAGAAAAGAAAAAGACAAGAATTTTTATTTTTATTAAACAGCTAAGAAAGTGACAATGCATATTGGCTCCGCTACATGTGAACTGATGAAGGACTTGATTGCCTGTGGACTCCAAGTTGCCCCCACGTTCCTTTGCACAATTTGTGGGCACACTTGTCTCCCCCTACCAATTTCCTCAAAAGAAAAAGGCTGTCTTTCTTTTTCTTTTCTTGTTCTTCTTGCAAAAAATCAACACCACCCTCTCTGTGGCTTTTCAAGATTCCAATTTTCTTCAGTTTTTGGATTGGTAGGTAAGCATTTCTTCACTCTTCAGCTTCCTGGTTTTTTCTATTTCCAAGGTTTCATCCATCTTGTAATGCTGCATTTTGCTTGTTATTAAGAGTTGCTTTCTCATTCTGGAGGTTGCTTGGAGGTGAGAACTCAGTCTTGTGATATCAGTTTTCGAGTTTGATGATCTGGGTTTTGTTTTTTGGAGGATTTTAAGAATTGGGTTTTCCTCATTTTTTGTGAAGTACGGATTTTTAGGGGTTGTTTGAGTGTGGAATCATGGTGATACCAGGAAGGGAGTTTAGTTGATTGGTTTATTTGCCTGAGCCAGGACTTATTGGAACATTTTCTATTGGTTTCTGGGCGTTGCTGTTGTCAATTCATTGGAATTTTCCTTGTGTTTTATTCAAGGAGCTTTGATACGCGTTTTATGGCTTGAATTGTGGCATTTTGTGCTGTGGAAACCATGTATAGATATAGTTTTGTGGAACAATTGGAGATTTTGCTGTTCAGAAATTTATAAATTGGATATGAGAGTGTATGGATATAGTAGTGCTGATCATTTAGAGAAATATGACTTCAATTTTACCTTCTGTAATTCCACCAACTTCTAGTGATATCTCACCACCACCAGCACCTCCTACCTCTTCCTCCTCAAATTCCTCAACCACTTCGCCATCCCCCAAATCATCTCAGCCAAATCAAACTACCGATCCCCCACCATCCTCAGCACCATCAAATTCTTCACCTCCACCACCTCAATCCCCTCCTCCAGCTGTCCTTACAGCTCCTCCTCCATCACCACCTTTATCACCACCACCAGCTTCACCTGCACCATCAATCCCAGCATCTCCTTCTCCATCGCCTCCTGCTTCCCCACCTCCGTCATTGCCAACATCTCCTCCACCTTCAGCTCCTGTTGTCCCTCCACCCTCACCAGTTTTATCTCCACCACCGCAATCAGGTGGTTCTCCTCCTCCAAAAGCTGCACCTGCACCTCCGATTGCAACTTCACCTCCACCTCAGGTCATTTTACATTCCCCACCTCCTCCAGCTAATGTTCCAACTCCACCATCCTCAAAGTCTCCACCTTCACCACCAGAAACACCCCCACCTGAAAGCTCTTCCTCACCTCCTATACTTACACCTCCACCATCTAGCCCTAAGTCTGCTTCTCCTCCTCCCACAACTTCTCCCTCAACACCCACATTATCATCCCCGCCTCCTTCAGTTCCCTCAACCCCCTCACCTTCTACAATTTCACCTCCAGCAGCTCCAAGTACACCGTCAACAGCTGGAAGTCCCATTTCATCATCTTTGCCCTCAATTCCAACAGAAAAACCAACTGCAAATTCAAGTAAGGGTGCCGATGCATCTGTAAATGCAACATCCTCCGGTAAGAATGGTTTAGGCGCTGGAGGTGCTGCAGGTATAAGCATTGTTGTAGGGTTTATTGTGCTTGGTCTTCTTGTGGTGACTGTGTGGTTTGCACAGAAACAAAAGAGAAAGAGGGCTGGACTGAAAATTCGGTACACTATGCCTTCTCCATTTGCCTCCTCTCAAAATTCAGGTAAATAATTGAAACATGGCTTGCGGAAGCTGGTTTTCATGTTCTTCTGTTGGTTGTGGATGTTCTTAATTCAATGTAAGAATTATCTTTATTTCGATGTTTTCTAGATTAATTTTGAAATCTTCAAAAGTACTTATTCATTTAGTTTGGTTTCACTTTTATGATTCCAAAAGTTTTATCTGAAATGAAAATTTCCCTCATGGTAAGCTGAAAGATTTTGGTTGAAAGGACACCCTTTCTGAGTAATTCATAAAATAGAAAAAACTTATATGAAGATTAATATTAGAAAAGTTTATAATTTGTCATCCAATGTGATCCACATTTGACTCACATTATGCACATTACATTGAAACATGCTATGTTATTAAGTGACATTTTTTATCCTAGATTATCACATAAAGTGAATTTTGAAGATCTTTCATGCTTATTAAATGATGTTATACCCAAGATTATCATTGTTTTACTTTTTTTTTTTTTCTCTTTTACGGCTATTTGTTCTGCAAAACCCAATCAACAAAACAATTCTAGACTTTCATGAGCTTGATTCTTTGATATCAATCCCCTAGGACCTATCCTTTCTTCACATTGTTCTACAATTCTCAATGCCACAGCTTCAATACTTCCACCTTTTACTGCTGCTGCCATATCTTTAGCATTCCAATTTGTTTGAGAATTAAATTAAAGCAGTTTGCTAGAGCCAGGAATTTTATTCGTAGGGGTGTCAAATGATTACTAATAATTTTATTTGAAAATATATAAAAAAGAATAAATAAATATTTTTATCATAAATAGTCATCTATCTATTCAATATAGTATTTGTAAAGCTAAGAAATAGTGTAATCAAATTAGAATATTATAAAACTGCTAAATCAACTGGAAATGACTTTTATACTAATTTTCGACAAAAACAAATATTGGTTGGTCAATTTTACAGAAGCACCGTAACGTTTTCTTTTCTTTTTTTTTTTTTCTTTTTGAAGAAAAGAACTATAACATTTTTTAACATTAAAACCATATGATATTCAATATCACATCATGCACAAAAATAATCTAAGCCTTCCTTAATAAACATCTTAGGATGAGTAACAATTGATAGAATATTGAAAGTTATTTATTAAGTAATTGAATGTTTGAACTTTTCCCTGTTGAGAATATAATAAGAAAACGGAGATTATTTTTATAATTTCAACTACCTTTCTACATATCTCAGCAACTAAAAGAAAAAATTTTGAACACACCCCACCCCCTGCGCATGCGCACTCTTCCTTTTGTACTTTGCTATTTTGTTCTTTTTTTCCCTTTGTTGTTTCTAATGTAAAAGGCAAAAGGAATGGTTCTGTATTCTTATATGGGGAAATTGAGAAACTCAGAGTTAATAGATCTATACAAAGCTATAATATGGATGAGGTGCACAAGTCCTTTGCTAGGGATCATTTTTCAATACTTAAAGTTCTTTTTCATTTTGAATATATTGTTAATGACTCTGATAAGTGTTGTAAATCTTACTTATTTATAGATCTATTTAGGATTTTTTTTTTTTCCAAATTCAATTTGGCTCACCAAGGATTTGGAGTTAATATAAGCTAAAATTTTATTTCAGGTTCTAGGGGATTCTTTGGTCACATTTTACTTGGGCAATGATATTTCAGTTCCTTCTTTTGATTTATCTTGCTATAACTGAATATTACTTAAATTATGCTGTATAGTGATATAGGAACTTGCATTGCTCTGCAGATGCAGCATTTTTAAGGCCTCAGTCTCCACATCAACTAGTGGGAAGTGGTTCTAACAGTGGTTTTTATTCACCGTCAGAGCCTGGTGGGGTCAATAATTCCAGGTCATGGTTCACTTATGAAGAGCTAGTCCAGGCAACGGATGGGTTTTCAGAACATAATCTTTTGGGTGAAGGTGGATTTGGTTGTGTATACAAAGGTATTCTCACAGACAGTAGAGAAGTCGCTGTAAAGCAGCTAAAGATTGGTGGTGGACAGGGGGAGCGGGAGTTCAGAGCAGAAGTTGAGATTATTAGCAGAGTACATCATCGCCATTTGGTTTCGCTGGTAGGATACTGTATATCAGAGCATCAAAGATTGCTTGTCTATGATTATGTCCCGAACAATACCCTTCATTACCATCTCCATGGTAAGTCATCTTCTGATCTTAAACTCCTAAGCACTTCTGTCATCTATAACCATTCTGTGCTTATAATGAAGTCGGATATAATTTTCTGTTCAAAATTTGAAGCGGGTTGCATGAGTTATATGTATGGTTCAAAGAGTCAACTGATATGATGGATATTTATACCAATTTTGTAAGAGGATTCCTGTCCATTAACGTGTTTGGACCCATTGCTTGAGCATCTGTACTTCAGTTGGGAAGCTTCCTCCTCTCCCAACTCACACTCACATACACATTGAATAGAAGATGAGGGATAACAGAAACATGAAAGAATCACTCTTTATAATCCTCTTGTACTGATGGTAATGTTCTAATTTCATGCACTTTTATGGAATTTTCCAGGTAGAGGCAGGCCAGTTATGGATTGGCCAGTACGAGTCAAGGTTGCTGCAGGTGCAGCTCGTGGGATAGCTTACCTCCATGAAGACTGTAATCTACTTTTTCTTTGTTGTACTTTTAGACTCTGACATATGCTGCAAACCTTTAAATTATCTGAATAAGAACAACAGTAGACTTTAAACAGCACCTAGAACCAGGTTTGCTATGCTATAAAGTAATATATACTTCAAATCATATAGAATTGGTCTTTCTATGACATGTTCCTTTGGTAATTAACTGATCATTGCATCATTACTATTATAACTTCTAATGCAACATTTCTTATAAATATTTTGCTTCAATCAGGCCATCCTCGCATCATTCACAGGGATATCAAGTCATCAAACATACTTCTTGATAACAATTTTGAGGCTCGGGTATGCCAATTTCTACTGTCCAAATTTTTGTGAACACCATTATTTTGATCTTGAATTGTTTTGGGGGATATTGATGGTGCTTATGAGTGCCATATCATCTTTTGTTAACCATAGAATTTCTGCATTAAATTAGAATTATTAACATTTCTTACTATTATAATCTTAGAAACTATATTGGGGTTTTCTTTTTTCATTATTTTATTTTCCTTTTGTCACTTTAACTTTCTCTCCCCCAATTCATGTTACCAAAACAGGTTTCGGATTTTGGACTTGCAAAGTTAGCTTTGGATTCAAATACCCATGTAACCACTCGTGTGATGGGAACCTTTGGGTAAGTTAACTTGGTATGTTGGTTTGTGATATATCTAGAAGAACTAAACTTTCATGTGCTTTTGCATGGTGTTGTTTTCCCTGTGTTACATATGCATAACCAATTATTTTTGTACTTTTTGATCTGTTTAAAGCTTTCCTGTGTAAAGCTAAAACTTAAGGTCCATATTATAATTGCATATTATCACTTTGATCTATTTAAAGCATTTTTAAATCCAATAATTTTGAGATCTGATAATCTGTCTAAATGTGCACTGCACTTTTCATTTGACCTTTAATTTGGCCTGCAAACATGTATTGTGTCTTAGTCAAATATCATATTCTGGTTTTCTGATAAACGAATTTGTTCTTTTATAGATATATGGCTCCAGAGTATGCGACAAGTGGCAAGTTAACTGAAAAATCTGATGTTTATTCCTTTGGTGTTGTGCTCTTGGAGCTAATTACTGGACGCAAGCCCGTTGATGATTCTCAGCCCCTAGGTGATGAGAGCCTGGTTGAATGGGTAAAGCTATGAAGCTAGGTTTTGAGTTATCAAAAATTTGTGCCTGCTTTTAACATGCCTTTTGCTCTAACTTCTTCATAGGATTTAGCTTTGCTTTAAGTTAAGCCTTATACTGGTTGAATCTTCAAGAAATTTGATTTTCTTCTGATCAACATCTGAAATCCAGCTAGAAAGTACCAAACCAAATTGTTATGACCTCAATCATTTCTTTATCTAATGCAATGGAACTTCTGGCAATGGTCCGGTATCAAACATTTTAATTTGATTCATACTTACTTAGGCGCGACCATTGCTTGCTGAAGCAATTGAACATCGAGACTTTGGAGAGTTGGTGGATCCTAGACTGGAAAAGAACTATGTGAATCATGAAATGTTTCGAATGATTGAGGCAGCTGCAGCATGTGTGAGACATTTAGCTACTAAAAGGCCAAGAATGAGTCAGGTAAATATGCTTCCATAATATGGGACTTTCTTTATTATCACTTTTGGCTTACAAATGGATTTCATTGACATTTATTTCATAGGTGGTGAGAGCTCTAGACTCATTAGATGAGTCATCAGATCTCACAAATGGAATGAGACCTGGCCAAAGTGAAGTTTTTGATTCAGCACAACAATCTGCACAAATCAGAATGTTTCGGAGGTTAGCATTTGGCAGCCAAGACTACAGTTCTAGTTTCTTTGAACATACTCAGAGCAGTTGGAGAAGTCAAGAAGATGGTAGTCAGGGTAGCTGGAGGAGTCGAGAGTTTGGGAATCAGAGTGGCCAGAGTTGAGAGCATAGGGAACGTAGCACCTTAATGCCTTAGCAAGTCAGATGCGTTCAATGCATACCATTGCATACCTGAGTACTGATAGTTCAGATGCATCACAGTTTACAGGGAATGCCTTATCTCTGAATTTTGGAAGATTGAAGATCAATATCATGGAATCAGGTCTTGCTGCTCACTTGATATCCAGTCTTTGTTATTTTGTAGGCCACATGATTTTTGAGAAAGAAAAAAAAAAAAAAGCATACATGATTTTCCTGTAGGAATGCTTCTGGATGTATTTTCTATGATTTAGAATCATTATTCATACATCTTTTCCTTGTATTTATATTTATTAATTCAATATAAGTTTCTTTTCCCTTATTTATAACTCGTGAATTTGTTTTGTACCTGGAAATAATGAGAAGAAATATTGTAGAAGGTTTTTCCTTCAAGTTACTAGAATCTTTTTAATCCTGGTTCCCAATAAATGCCACTGCCCCACTTGTGTTTGGGATCCATCTATTAGCTTGACTTTAGAGTCTGATATATCCCTACCAGTCCAAGTTGACACTAACCTGTCAAATCTGTCCTGAAAATAATCGGGATCCGAAATGACCTACCCGACCCGCCCAGTTTAATGGTCTAGCTGACCAAGAGTCATAACGGATTGCAGTTTTAGCCGACAAGTTAGCATATTAAACCTCATCATAATATTAAAAATAACCGAATCACTCTCCAATCTCACCAATTATCTTTCATCTATCAAATTTACAGTGGAATAATACAAACCTTATCTCAAACCCTCATTATTGCATTCTAGATATTTTATTCAATAATAGCATGTGAATATTGGCTTGTACATTATTACTTTGCCTGACTACGTGGGCCCAAGTATGCCATCAGTCAAACCATTGTTTCTTGACTGTTATTATGGGGAGACTGCACTTACCACCCTCGTGCTTTTCCATCTAATATTCTCCGTCTACCCTGCTGCAAGCGCCCTCTGATATAAAGCTAAGGCCTTATCAAAGAGAAGGAGTCAAACAGAGAGATGGAGGAAGTAGAGGTACCAAAACCAGTGTTGGTGCCAGTTTTAGGACAAAAGTGTGTTGGGAATGTTTTTAGTTGTAGTTTGAGTGCAAGAGAGAAGAAACTGATATGTGTGACAAGTGGGAACTCTTACTTGGGTTCTTTTATTGTCAAGGAGCTATTGGCTCATGGTTACCTTGTGCGAGTTACCATTCAACACGAAGGTATAGTTATTTAAACTGTGTTAAAAAATTTTCTGCAACAAGAATTTGTAGCAATAAAACAAATTTTAGGACGATTTGGATTTCATATTATAAGTTCTTATTATCATTTTTTTTTCTGTTTTCTTCAGAATTGTAATTATTTTCTGATTATTGTAGTCGATAGGCTGGGTCAATCCAGAACCAATTAAGTGAACACCCTATGGCTACAGAAATTGTTGGCATCTGTAACATGGGAAACATGACGATTTTTTTTATAAAGAGATCGTAGGTTAGGATAAGGAAAGAGGTTACAGGTTAAACTCCGGTTCGGAAACCGAGCTGGTTGCTATGTGGAATAATAGACTTTGAACTAATCTCTTTAGTTCCTATGACCAAAAATCATGTCAACTTTTTCTTGAACTCCTAGCTTTTTTTTGTTGAATCTTGTTACAGTTTTGATGTTCTTCTGGAAAGCAGCTTTATTTTTTTTTTTTCCATTAAACAGTGGAATTTGAAGACGTGAAAGATCTGATAGGGGTGGAAGAGTTAAATCTATTGGAAAGTGTAGTGGTTACAAGGATGGAAGATTTAGAAAGTCTCTGTGCTGCTTTTAGAGGCTGCCATGCTGTTTTTCATACATCCTCCTTCATTGATCCACATGGGATCTCTGGTTATTCGGTAAGATATGTGGTTTCATTACATAAAGCTAGATTTACTACATATTTCAATTCATCTACTCTTCAATTATTTACAATTGATGTCAATAGGATTTCTGAACTAATTTGCCATAGTAAACAGTTAATTACTGAACAACTTTAATCAAAATTAAAATGAGTAAAATACGTAGTAGTAGTAGTAGTAATAGTAGTAGTAGTCACATCAGCTTTCCGTTCACATAGAAATAACAATCGTTTGGAGAGGTTATGCTTTAGAAAGATAGCTATGTATTTGTCTATGTTACTTCAACTCTTTATTTTTTAAGTACTTATGTAAGATATATCTGATGAACAAGGAACATGGGTATGACAGTTCAATCCTATAAATATATGAAAAGAATTTTATAAAAATGAACATACCCGTGTCGAATACATACTCAGATTCGACACTTACTCCCAATGAGTGACATAGGTATTAGTATTAAGTTGTGTCAACTCCTAGTTAATGCTATCTAAAATGCACAATGAGTAAGGACTTCACGACAAGCATGGATTAATGGAGGCTTTCTTTTAATGTGATTGTAACAACAAGATTTGCTGCACATGAATTTCTATAACCAGCTTGTTACTTTCCTTGCTTTTTTAAATTTTGTACACTTGACAATTTTGCTTGCTGATTCTAGGAAAAAATGGCATTTCTTGAGACTGAAGGGGCGAGGAATGTCATGGAAGCTTGTGCTAAGGCAGCCTATATAAAGAGGTGTATCTTCACTTCTTCTTTACTCGCATCTATTTGGGAAAACAACAATATAGAGAAGACCATAGATGAGAGTTGTTGGAGCAGTGAAGAGTTTTGCAGAGAAAATAAGGTAGTTTCCTTTGTATATAGTTTTAGCTTGATGCATTAGTACTACTTCCACATTTTTTTTTATCAATGTTATCTTAGGTAAGGGCAGAGGGGGCTGGCAATGTTGGGAATTAAGCATGCAAATGCAATGACATTTAAAAATTTTAACTCCTAAAAGCAAGGATCACATGTCGATTTCATGATGTACAACCATACTAGCAAATCGATAAGAGCATAATTGTTTACCTTGATCTCTAGGTTTCACAAACGCAAGAACCGCTTAGAAACTTGAGTTAGATTATTGTAAACCTTTAGCTGTCCAAGCATCCAACCTCTAATGATAGTTCGCTTGAATAAGAAGTGAAAAGGTGATGTTTGGCTGAATTCTATACTAAAAGAAATAGATTGTCTCTCAAGTGAATTTAGGGTTTTTACTTAACACATGAGACTTGTGTATTTATGAAAGGGACGATCAAGGCATGCTTATATATTACCTTTATCCTAACATCTCTTTGGAAGAAATAAATTATAGATTTACTTAAAGCAGGCTTCATCTTTTTTTATATTACTATTTTGTTTCTTTTTCTACAACTCTAAATTTAGCTGTGACCTCCAAATATTAATGGCATTCTTTGTTTTGGACGATAGTTTTGGCTTGCATTGGGTAAGACCAAGGCTGAGAAGGTAGCTTGGATGAAGGCAAGAGATTCAAAAGTAAAACTTGTTACTATCTGCCCTGGTCTTCTCATGGCTCCCACATTTCCAAATGCTCACAGAGAAACTTCTATACCTTACCTTAAAGGTACAATAATCGAACATTTTCTACTCCTCGAGTTTAAATTTATGCAAAATAAGGTAGGGTGGCCCTTGAATTATAATGAAATATTCAACGTAAATATAAATTTTAAATTTTTTATACGATAGTTAAAGTATGAATTTTTTAACTAATATAATATTTTGAAGGCTATTTGCTTATCGCGTATTATTACTTGAAGTTAATCACGTTGAAAGTGAATATCATATTAATTAATAGATTCATATTATTGATACTACATTAAAAATTTTTTAAGTTTAGATATTGTTTTAAAATTTTCACTATAATTCAAGTACCATTTATAACATTAACTCAATAAGATATATAGAAAATATTGTATTTAAACATATGCATTTGCTTGAGTCTATATTTTTATTGTGTATTCAATTGCGATGGGTGTATTTGGGTATATAGGTGGGCATATCATGCTACAACAAGGCCACTTAGCAATTGCAGAGGTGAAGAAGGTGGCTGAAGCCCATGTTCATGTTTATGAAGCCATGGATTACGGAGCTTGTGGACGATATTTTTGCTTTGAAGAAGTAGTGAGAAGACCAAGTAAGGCCATTGAGCTTGAAAATGGGTTGAAGAAGCAGGGTTTGCTGTTAGGAGATAGACATGTGCTCTTATCAGAAGAAGAAGAAATTCCAATCAAAATTAGCAATTCAAAGCTTGTGACCCTCTTATTTAAGGCCTCTCAACGGTTGTCTTGTAAAAGTTGAAACCTCATTGTCGCAACATTTTGTTGAGAAATTTTCTTTTACACCCATTCAATTGGAGAGAGAGAGAGAGAGCTCTTAAAAAGAGCATGGAAATTCAATGAAGAGAGCTCTTAAAGGCGGAAATCAATTAAGCATATGGGAATTCACCAACGCAACAATGGAATAAAAGTTTTGATCAACAATGCAACATTCAAGAAGATTTATAATAAGAATAATAAAAAATCATTTATTAAATAGAATTCCTTATTGAGTCAGCAACAACAGAATGCAAACTTTCTAATCTATTCTTAGCAGCATCTTGTACTCCAACAAACACTTGTTCAGTTGTCTCTTTTCCATTCTTGTATAATCTATAGTTCCTTTCTTTCCATGCCTAAATATATACAAGCACTCCAAGTAATTCGCAAGATAATTGAGATCAATGCTTTCCCTTTCATCCTGCTTTCTGCCCATCGGAGCTCTGCAACCCACTCCCTTATTCTTCTTCCCATCCTTCACTGCCATAATGCTCTTTGCCATATTGCTTTTGTGAACTCACATTCAAAGCAAAAATGATCCCTGGATTCTCTGCCCTGTTGACATAAACAACATTTCTCATTCACCTCCATTCTCCATGCCCTCAGTCTGTCCTTGGTTGGGAGCCTATTTAGTATTTCCATCCAAGCAATCAATGAGTGTTTTGGTATATATACGATGTCTGAAACCATATCAGCTTATGCCATTCCACCTTCCTTTGCTTTGGCCTAATCTCATTCTGCACTGTCATAGTTGAATAACAGTTCCCAAGAATAGACCATATCTCAGCACCATTAACCTGCCTAATAAATTGTTTGGTTGTGTGTCCCAAGCTGAAGCAATTTTCTCCAACTCCAGCTGCTACCCTACTATGGTGAAACCTGCCAAATGCTTCTACTTTTGTTTTTGTTTTTTGATATTGGAATAAGATAAATAATTTGTATAATGATGTTCTTAAAAATATTTATTCTATTTAATCTTTTTTCTTGAGCTATCCATAAATTCAATGAATAAATTAGTTTTTTTTTTTTTTTTTATGATGATGATATAAAAAACTTATTCTTTGCTGATTTTCTACTAGGTTCATTTGGATATTTATATGTTTTTATATATGATTGTGTTCGAAATGAGGGAATAATGTACTTTAAAATACAAATTAAATAAAAAATATGTTATTGATAAATTAATAATTTTGAGTCTAGGTCTTAAAAGTTATGTTCAAAACTTGATTTGAGTCAAGTCTAACTTGATCTAATTAATAATTTAATTTATAGGTAAATTTAATTGTAATTTAATAAATTTTTTTAAAAAAATTAATTGATTTAAAATCAACATTATAAAAATAATAATAAAAATAAATTAAAAAATAAAATTTTATCTTTTAATAATATTCATAAAAATATTCAAAATTTTATTTTCTTAATTATTATTATTTTATCTTTTAACCTTGAACTTATAATATTATCAATATAATATCTTATTTTGTAATTTTTTATTTACAAATAAACCATTTCATCACAATCATAAAGTTATAAAAATTAATATGTTATTTTTTAAAATTTAAAAATCAAAATAATATCCACCTCAAAATTTTAAAACCGTAAAATTAATTTAGTCTTAATTTATACTAATAAAATCACTCAAATTTGTAAAATGTATCAAATATAATAATCTTAATAGATTTCATACCATGTTTGGACGGAAAAATGATATAGTAAGCATCCATGTCAATTTTTGGCACAACATTGCTAGCACCAAAGGTACTCCGATAGCTCAACCATCATTAACCATCACTAAAGACCAAAATCGAGCATGGTCAAATCATCACAGCCTATAGACTTAAGCCTCCAACAACCACCACAGCCGCAGCCCGCAAACCACCTCCCATCACCACTAAAAACAGCAACATCATCTGCCACAACCACGACAATAAGTTTAAAGTAAACTATTCCTAGAAAATAAAGTAACCACAAACTGCGGACTTCGTTTTTTTGCCGACTTCAGTTTTTAGGTGGTAAGAAATAGGAATGTTAGAGAAAATGTTTTCAAGGTTTTACTTGGTCTTTAATGGCGACGGAAATGGGGTTTTCAAAGGCGGTGGGTTGTTGAAAGATCTAATTCTACATTAAGACAATTATCCAAAAAAATAATCTGCATAAGAGAAGAAAAAAGAATGTGGAGAGTGTGGCAGTGAGGTGAGGAAGTGAGAAGAAAAAGGAAAGTGGGAGTGTGGCCATGAAGATAGGATGACAAATTTGTTCTACTTTGGCCCTGCTAGGAGGAGAGCATGCGGTCAACTTACAATTATGCTAATATGAAAATTTTATATATATATATAACAAAATAGATATATTAAGTATTTCGTCTCAGATTTTTAATTATAAATTATTAATAATAATTTTTATAAAAAAAAATCATTATTTTTAATAATATTAATATATTATTTTATTATATTTAATAATTTAAAGTAATAAAGTGAAAACACAAAAATATATTTTTTAAATAAAAATTAAATTTTAAAAAATAAAATAGAGACTTTGATTTGATAAACTAAAACTTTTTAATTTTTTATGTGATATTTTTGCATTATAAAAAATGAAAAGGTATTTAAATTAATCATATTAATTATTTTGATGTGCAACAATTTTTAAATAAAATGAGCAAGCAAAATATTATAAAACATTAGTTAAAAAAAAAGAATTTATTTGTCAAGTTGGTTTTAATTATTATAATACTTTTATATATATTAAACTTAAATTTACATATATATATTAAAATATAATGTTAATAAATTTATTCATTTTAAATTAAAAATCATTTAGAATAAATAAATATAAGTTAAAGAGTTTTTTTTTTTTTTTTGAAATTAAGAGTTGTAATATGTAGAGAAATAATTTTTGTAACTGTATATCCAATATAAATACATAAAATAAATACTAAAATTTAAAAGGATCAAACTAAATTTTTTATAATAAAATTAAAATTTATTATAAAAATAAATTCAAAATTCAAAATTTTAAGAGTAAAGGTGTAATCGATTGAGTTTGAACTGATATAGTATTAAGCTCAAATTTGAGCTCGATTCGAAATTTAAAACTAAAATATCGGCTTGAATTCGATCGAGTTTTATTTTTTTAACTTGAGTTTGACTCGAAATAGAAATCGAGCTACTTGAACTCGTTCGGTTAAGCTTGATTAATATGTAAAAATAAGCTCGATTTTTATATTTGACAAAAGCTTGATTATTTGTGTTGGAGTTCGAGATATTTTATTAATTAAAATAATAAAAATATATTTAAATATAAAAACTTGATTAAGCTCACAACTATTCGAATCAGGTATAAAAATACTTGAACTTAAATCAATCGATGAGTCGAATTATTCAAGCTTGAGCTTAACTCGATAATAATCAATCTAAATTTAAATTTTATTTAAATTAAATTCGAATAACTTGTGAATACTAATATATTATTTATATTCTTATTTAAGAGGATTATGGCCCGTTGGATACTTTAAAGGATCCACCATTGCACGCAGCAAAATTGAAAAAAGTGAAGAAATTTATGGTTTGATGAAAAGGAAGAAAAATTTATGTGGCAAATTATATAGCTTATGTGGTTATTTGTTTAAATTAAAAAGCTTACATGGTTGCTCAGTGGTAGTTACGTAATTTTTTCATCCAAACATCAGATGAAATTTGTTAGAGTGATTATATTTGATAAATTTTACAAATTTGAATGATTTTATTTATACAAATTAAAGATGAGTAACTCATTTAAAATTATGATGATAATTTAGTGACTAGAAATGAAAATTATTCCTTGAGTTGCCAGATCTTCATGAGTCTAATTGTTATTATAAAGTTTTAAAAATTAATAAACTAATAATTTTTTAAAATTTATTTTTTTAATTAAATTAATATTTTTTAAATAATAAAGGTGACAATTTTTTTTTCGAGCAATTTTGAATTAAACTTTAAATCAAATTTGGACTCAATTAGTTTAAATTAAATTGATTAAGATTTATCCAATCTATAACTTTTATAATTTCTCAGACAATAGAGCTTGAACTCAAACAAATTAAATAAAAAATTTTGAATTTCATTAAATATTGACGACTTTGCCTTCAATTACTAAACGTGGAAATCATATTCAAATAATAAAATTGTAAAAATTTAATTTTGTACAGTAAGAGTATTTTAATATTTTATAATAATAATAAAAATATTAGTTCGAAAAAAAAAAACTTGCAGTTCCGCCCAAGGCCGAGATGGACCCCACTAGATCATAATTTTGCCACGTGGCTTGACATGACTAGTAAATCAGGTCCGCACGTAAATAATACACACACTCCACAGTGGCAAAACAAAAAGCTATATAATCCAAACAAACAAAAAGAGAAGATCAAAGGCTTGAAGCAATAAACAACAGCGAAGATTCTCACAATTAAAGCAAAAAATAAAAATAAAAATAAAAAAAGAAAAATCCCTCTAATCTCAGATCCACTCTTATGGGGCTGGCGATGACATCCTTGTTACCGCCGGTGCATGACCATGGCCAGCGTGGCGGAAGTGAAAATCATCTTGATTTGGATGTTAGTTGCTTGATTTACAGGTTCCTGGGGTCCGTCTTTGGGACCTACGGCAACTATCGTCAATAGCAGCGCAGCCGGAAATCGGCTAGGATGGAGCGTCAGCCGTCGTTTAGCCGAGAGATCGGGCACGCTGCGGCTGAGACTTGTCTTCTTACGCGGCTTAGCTTCACTCTCCTCCGATATCTCGGGTATAATATACGTACATTCATTTGAATACGTATTTGTTTATTTATTTTGACGTATTTATCGGCGTATTTCAGTTGCTTTTTTTTTTTTTTTAATAATACTTTGATTTTTATTTAGTTTATTATTTGTGAATCTCGGCTGTGTTTGGTTCTCTAGAAAGTTGAAGGAAAGAAGAGAAGCAAATACAATTACTATAATTTTTCTGAGTGGTTGCTTTAAGTGTTAGGAAATAGTTGCATAGTTTCAATTTTCCTTTTAAAAAAAAATCCAGAAATGAAGAATTTTTTATAAATAAATTATATTATTTG